TATGAAGGAAACCAACCAAATGACCCCCTCTTCCTGTTTCTCAATTTGAATACAATGATCAAAATAATATAAGAAACAGTTATTTGAGACAACACAAATGTTTATAGCTAAAAATAACTGCAAAGTATAGATCTGATACCTTTCAAAGCCAAAATTCTAGAAGTGGGACACATTATAGCAGAATCTGCAGTAATAGGCCGCCTCAAAGGCTGCATTGGCTGGTTCATATCAATGATCACAACACTACTTTGTGGGGCTGTCTCCCGAACACAAATAAACTTATCTGATTCCATTGTCACATTGGTAAATGTGACAAATTGTGGGTTGACCCCTAAGCTTGACAGCTGCAATACAAAAATCACATCTCAAAACCAAGATCTATCTCACAGATCTAAGTATCTATGTACGACTATAGCACCATAATTTCTAATACAATAAACAAACAAAAACAATATTCAGAGACGACTATTTTGACGGTAATATTTCACCAGACAACCAGTTCATATCACACCACAATCGGGAAAACGATCCAAAATGCAATTATTAAAAAAACACTCCCTGACTGGTTTAACTATCCAATCGGATCAAGAGAAATTACTGCATTTCCTTACCGTAAGGACCTCCTTCATGGCGATCGGGGCGTTGGCGGCTGCCATGGCGGCCGTCGGATCTGTGAAGGCCAGATGCTAAAATGACGCCGTAATCAGGTCAAACGATCGGTTTATTGCAATCGCCAGCAGTCCCCAAACCGTCGAGCCCTCCGATGGAGAGACGCCGACGAAGATCTAGAGAGAGAAAGGGCGGGGAGGGTTCTGCACTTCCGCTCCTGAGAGAGAGAGAGAGAGAGAGAGAGCTTTCCTGCTGAAGTGCTGATTCATTTCTCGAGTCTATCTTTCCATCGTATATAGTGCGCGTCTTAGGCGAAAACGGAATGTCAGGCAATTAAAATTATACTTGTATTAAATTAAATTAAGATTATTGCTAAATTGAGAGCTTATTTTATTTGTTTTTTTCAGCTAATTTAAATCGTCTGTTTCAGTTTATAATATTTAATTATAATTATTTTCAATGTAATTTATAAATTGAGGAGGAATTAGAAAATAAATTTTACATATTACAAAATTATGGATTATTTCAAAATTTCTACGTAGAACAAAAAATTATATAATTATATTATTTTATCAAATGAAAAACAAAAATAGTAAAAGAAAATGAATGAAGATTGATCTAATCCTTTAATATACTATTTGAGACTCCGTTTCCTAGAAAGTCGCCAAATGTCAAACTTATGTAGGCTATATTAAGGTGAAATGTCAAGCCTTTATTGATTGTATATGTGACAAATTTTATTAATGATGGATTGACATTTCTTTTTATTTTAAAATAGAAATTTAATAATAATTTCAAATTTTGGAAAAATTTTACGTAAACAGATTTAGGACAAATAAAGAACTCATTACTTCGTGACATTAGTTGAGTATTTATATTTTTTATTTTTAAAAAGGATTTCATTTATTTATTTGTTAAGCTGTGATAAAATTAATTATATTATAAAATCAAATTTGTGAAAGATAAATATAGTATTGTCCGAAATAAATTTATTAAAGGAAACCAATTATATAAAATATAATTTTGTGATAAAACTTATTATGATGTAGCAAAAAATGAGTGAAAATATAAAATTGGTATTATCACTTACTATTTCTATACTAGCCTTTTTAATGAATCAAATTTTTAACTAAGTGCATACACAAAAAACAAAATTTTGATAATGATATTTTTTCATTTAAAAGTATTCTTATAGGAAATGATCAAATATGTTTATAATTGATCCTTTATTTATAAATTAAATTTGATATTTTAATCTCTAAGAAGCTGAGATGTGATGTTGTTTACGAGACATTTCTAACATGTAAAATATATTATAAAAAGTAAGAATTCATTCAGTACAATAATTATGCAAGAGAATATAGATATTCGTTTTTATAGTAAATTATTTCCTAATTATGCATATTAGTCTATTCAATTATTACAAAACTTCTAAAGGTGTGTTTGGTGAGCAAAAAAATATGAGTTTTGATACATCTAGATGTCGTAATCCTTTTCTGGTGTTTGTTGAAGCCAAAAGAGTTATCAAATTTAATATTTCCAGATATCATAAATATTTAAATGGATGGTCTCAATATCTCCTGAATTTGAGAGATATCAATATGGGGTTTTGATATCTCTCTTAACTGTTGATCATTTTTTCGTCACTCGCTACCATTGTCACTGACAACCAATCCTGTTGCCAGTCATCCTTGTTTATCACTAATTAAATCTTGAATTTAAATCTCTTCAAATAAAATCATTTCATATTACAAAGTCCATATCATTTCTCCAAAATTCACCAAATTGGCTATAAGTAATTAATATGATATTTCTTCGCTTCTAAATGAATTTCATATTTTTTATGATATATTTAAATTAAAGCAGTCAGGTTGATTATATTTATTAAAATATTCATGTAAGTTAATAAACAAAAAACTTATTTCAAAACTACAATTAAACTTTATAAAACATGAGAAGATTAGACAATAAATTGTTAAAGCAGGTAAAATATATTAGATATTATTTGGTAATTTGATTATATTAATTTCATGGTTTGATATAATTACTAAAAAAATTGTGGCTAATAGTTCTTAAATGATTTGTGATTTAATCTACAAATATTTTATTTTATTATTATTTATTATGATATTTTAAGGGTTAAATATATTTTTAGTTCCTTAAAAATAAGTGAGTTTTGTTTTTGGTCCCTGAAATATAATTTTTGTTTAAGTCATCCTTAAAACAAATTTATTTTGATAATGATCTTTATACGTAATAAAGACTTTTAAGTTGTTGACATAACATATTTATCTTGTACTCAATAGCTTAGTTTTAGATTTGCAATTACTTCAGACACAATTTTGATGCCAATAATTGTGTCTTTTATCAAATTGCATTTCCAATTCTCAAATTTTGATTATATTATATTTGTAAGAAATTTGAGAGCCAAATATATGTAATATGAATAAATGCACAATTTAGGGTTTAGAAACTGCATCAGATGTAATTAGAAATACATGACTAATATGTTGAGTATGAAATAAAGGTACTATCTCATCTAATTAGAAGTGCTAATTACGTTAAGAACTATTTTCAAATTAAAATATTTTGTAGGGATGACTTTATCAAAAAATATTTTACAGAGACTAAAACACAAACATTTCTTATTTTATAGGGTATACAAACATATTTAAACCTATTTTTATTATATTATAAAATACAAATGATTAAAACAACATATATCGTCGGGACTTATTATATTATACTAACATTATTTATGATTTTATTATCATTGAATAAATTTAATTAAGAAAGAGAGATATTTATTTTTCATTAGAATATTTTTTAATTTTTTTATTCATTTCATTTATAATAATACTTTCAATGAATGTATAAACTACTCTATTCATATCTAAAAAAAATCATATTTCTTTATGTTATGATTAAGGGAAGTTAGTTTTATTCTATTTATTTAAATACTGATGTATAATAACAAATACTTCTTAATCCCTATATTAAAATTATATATATGAAGATATGACTCGATTTTTTTTTAAAGATCAAATGTTTAAACCAAATTACTTAGCAGGAATATTTAATTTGACTTTTATACTTTATCTTGCTAATTTGACCTATCTTTATCTTTTTTCTTTATATATAAATTTGAGACTTCTTACTCTAAGAATCCTTTATATATAAATTTGAGACTCATTACTTCAAGAATTTGACATGTGGCCTTTTAATAAAAGGACATGTGGCTCTTTAAAATATTAACATGTGGCGATATCTATGGCATTATTTTTTGACAAATTTTCATCTATTTATGTAAGATAATAAAAAAAAGAATTTGTAAGAAATTTATGAAAGATAATCAATTACAAGTTAAGTAAATATTTACTATACTTAATAAATATTTAACATTCACTCAAAAATTCAAGGCGGGATTAACAACTTAATATACTACAAATAATATTTGACATGATATTAAATTAAAATTTTACTTTGTGTTAAAAATAAAACTATTAAACTTTTAATAAATATTGTATATATAAAAATGAGACATAAAATTGACATGTGCCTTTATTATGTGATTTATTTCACCTAATTTAGACAAGAAAATATGAAATAAATATTTGAGGATGACATTTTTGAATAAATTTGAATATGAAATCTAGATTTTTGTTTTATAATAATAATATTTTCTAATTACATTATTTCGCCCTTTATGTATAACATAGCTTTCAATTAATAAACACGTATTAAATCAATTAAAATTATTCTTTTATCAATATCTACTTTAAAGTTTTCTAATTAAAACTCAATGTTTATCAATTTGACTGAAAAAGTTAAAATGAATAAATACTCCGAGATAGGGATAATATTTTATATATTAAGCAGATAAGTTTATCCTTAAATGTTTAGGACTAAAGCAATGTTTGATGAGTGAACCCTTTTATAAGTGTTTGACTTTGACAAAGCAACTCTCCCAAGTGAGTGTGTTCTGGTATCTCTTGAATTCTAGAGATACCAATCTAGGATTTTTTATATCTCCCTTAACAGCCGATCTCTCACTAACAACCATCAGTTGAGATCTATTCAAAAATTCAAATTTTAAAACTCATATCATTTCTATCAAGATAGCACCCATATCGCATCAACCCTCAAAATTAGCCCTAAGAGTGTCTGATCAGGAAGATTGAACCAATTACATGCAAAAACATTTGGAATGTATTTTCACAACAAGGTTGCCACTATGAAGAACACCATCAGTGTTGTATGATTAAACTTGAAAATAATGTACAGGTGAAAGATTACATACTCAGGAAATAATAATATTAGTCGTGTCATGGATTAAACAAGTTAAGAACAAGAGAGGTGTAGATATAACATTATGTACTTGGCGTGTCTCGCCAACCAGAATGATGCAAATCCAAAAAGCTTTCCTCATTTGATCCCGAATGAATATAGTCGAGCATTAGGGACCGCTATTTTACGTATAAATCCATTTGTATTCTTACTTCGTTCATCCTACTATGTTCACTCTGTCTCTACATCTACTTCTGGATTCTTCTGGTAAGCTTACTGAGATGATTATGGGTTTCATGGAACAAAATGGCCAATATGAATCACCATTGCACTTATATCATCAAAGGAGCCTCTTGTCAGGGCCATGTTAACAAGCTCTTTACAGGCAGAGAGTGAGTTTGGGTTTTCAACACTGATGCATGAAGATCGAACTGTATCGACTGCCTCTTGATTACTAACCTGCAAATGGGATATGGAAAAAAAGTTTAGATTAGAATCCCGCAAGAATAATTTTATTATTATTATTATTATTATTATTATTATCATCGTCATCATCTATAGCGAAGATATATAAGATGTGGAACGAAGTTATTGGGAGAACGGTGGGGGTGGTTCTTGTGGAGGATAAAATGCAAGAAACTAGACTGATGTGGTTTGGCATGTAAGGAGTAGGGAAGAGTGAGGAGATGTGAGAGGCATGTGGTAGTGGCTGTGAGAAGGGGTAGGGGTATCCCTATGAAGAATTGGAAGGAGGTAATTAGACACGACAAACGACTTCAAGATCTTACCGAGGATATGACCTACATTGAGAAGGTTTGGAGATCTAGAATTGGAGTATCGAGGTAGACCTCTAGGCCTTAGATTGTAGTTCATGATGGTGTGTTTTGTGCCCTAGTGTATGGCTTGTGCATATGCCTGTTTTCTGTGTTTGGGTCTTGTTGCTAGTATCGGTAGGTGCTTGTCTGTGTTTTAATTGTTTTCTTTGTTGTTATTTGAATTATCTGCCATTCAGGATGCATTTTGTCTGTGTTAAAATTTACCTTGTCCCAAACTCCATCAGAAGCAAGAATCAAGAATTCAAACTCAGGTTCAGTGGATATGACTGTTGTTTCTGGTTCTGCAATCACCCACCTTTTCAAACCAGAGTCCCCTATCCCACGTGACACGGCAAGGGATCCCTGGATTCTCCAAACTCCATGGCGACAATCTACGTAGCCACCCTTCAGAAAAAAAACATTATATGGTTAGTGTGAGTTGTCCATGCGCATTAGAGTTGTGACTCTTCAAAAAAGCTTACACTATGTTTGGTTCAAGGAGTTTGAAAGAAAATGAGAAGGAAAACAATTTTTCTTGATTGGTTAAAGAGGAAAAAAAAAGAAAAGTGGAAGGAAACAAATTTGAAGGCAAAATGTACTAAAGGGGGGAAAGCCAAATTCTCCCATTTTGGCGAGGAAAACGAGAGAAACTCATTTTCTTTTCTTTTCCTTTCAAATTCCTTGAAGTGTTAGTGTTTCAGTTTCACCCAATCTTTACATCTAAGATTGGCATATAAATAAGCTTACCAGCTCTTCAATCCTTTGTCTTTCGCTTTCCCTTGAGGGCCGGTGATCAACTGTTAGAGCCTCTGCAACCCCACCTCGGCTCATAACAGCACGACAGTCGCCCGCATTTGAAACGACGAGTTTGCCATTGTGAATCAATGCTGTCACACAGCTCGCCCCGCCCCTCACATTTTGCTTGAGGAACTCTTCATCGGTGTTGAGGTAACCCGCCTTGACTGCACATTCAATGTCTTCTTCACTCCCTACTGCAACCTCATTCATTATATTCCTGCCCATGTTTGCTGCTGCAAACTCTGCTGCTCTAGCTCCTCCATGCCCATCATATACGGCAAAGAAAGCCTGAAACCCACATATTGTATCAGGATCAAATGAAAAGAACAGATTCAGCTTCAAACAACAATTGTTAGGTTACAAATCTGCAATCACTTGTTTTTTTCCGGGCCTAATTCATTCTCAAATTTGAATTCTAACTATCCTAATTTGAAAATAAATTGGCTTAAAGTTCGGTTCAATTACATGGTATTTTTAAAATGAATTTGATTGGATTAATGGCCTCCAAAAATCCTTTTAAAAATAAATACATGCTGATGAACAAATACTCCGTAATTCAACGAAGAATCCATATCTAGATAGAAAATGTAAACAAACTCAGAGAAAGCCAGAAAGGCTGGAGTGAATTGATTACCTGCTTAGAACCTTGTTGATCAACAATGGCGGAATACCTATCTTCCATGGCACCCCGTTTCCCTCTTTTGCAGTACACGGAGTAACCCTCTCCTTCAACCTCCACCTCATCCAACCTATCCTCGCTCCTCGGAGTCCGAAGGCTCTGTTCGAAATCAAACGGCGCTACAGGGATATCAATTCTCGCCGGCCTCTTCCTCTTCAGAACCGGCGCAGTGACCGCCGACGACGTTGAGCAAAATGAAACTGAATTAGCTTCTTCCCGAGCGGAATCGCGCGTCTGATTGGGAAGCCGGAGACTCAACGAGCGTAACGGCCACGCCGGCGATGAGCTCGGCGGCGAGAGTGATGAGGCAGCGATTAGGTTGCGGCTGATCGGAGATAAAGCGGTTGATTTACTGAACATCGGCGACGGCGAGAAGACCGGCGATTGAACGGCCGCGCAAGGCATTTCTTCTGGGAGCTGGAATTTGGTCAATTCTTCGTAGGCGTTTGAACGAATGGATCTGAGAAAGAGGGATGCGCCAAGCTGAATTTATACGCAAATGAGAGAAAAAAAGACTTTTTGCTTTTTCCTTTTTTTGAAAAAAAAACATTCTAATTAAATACTAGTATTTCCGTTCTTCAATATTTTTCGATTTTGACATTTTATATTTAAAATTAACAAACTTTAATTATTAATTAAATATTCAATATTGATACAAAAATAAAATTATTAGATTTATTTTAGGGAGTTGATATTGGCACTCCACATATGTTACCTACACTCCACATCTTTACTTTCATTGTATAAATTGACAACTTTGCCCATCGTAACTAATAAATCCTCCTTGATGCACTAGCTCACATCACTCAATTGTTTTGTAACTTTTTCCTTTGATTGTAAATTCTCAATGTAAATACCTAGGCACACTCACACCCAAAAATATTATAAAAATACTATTATATATAATGTAAAAATATAATATTATTTTTTCATATTTTTTTAGGATGAATATAAAAATAATATCATTATTTTGTAAAAGAATTAATAGAAGATAAAAGAATATTAAAAACAGACAAAAGGTTTGAAAAAGTGAAGTAAATTATTTTAATAAAAAACAAAAAATTTTAAAAACATATTCCATCATCCCAAAGTTAATGTCTTACTTTGGTTTTTGTAGTAACGTTGACCATACACTTTTAAAAAATGTATATTTACATACTCGGTATAATGTAAATATGATACTCCCTCCGTCCCATAAATGATTACCCATTTTGACTAAAATTAAAATTAAGGGAGAGATAGTTTTGTATTGACTTTCCAAAAATACCCTTGATGTGATGGGTAAAAGTAGGATGTGATGTGTAGATTATTAGGAAAAAGGTATGATGTGATAGGTGGTAGGGTTTGAAAAAGTAAGGGATAAAAGTGGGTTTTTAATTGAAATGAGAGATTGTGGGACGCAATTTTTTTGAAACGTGTAAATCCTTTTGGGTCGGAGGGAGTATAATTTAGTTCATTTTAAATTCTAGTTTTTATTTATCAAATTTTTATACTACTTATTTAATTAAAAATATATTTTGTTTAATGCATCTTTCATTTTTTTCCATCTCCTTTATTTTTAGTTTATGCCAAAATCTAAAATTTTCCCAATTCATACTAGTTTTTTCAAATTAAATATATTTCAATTTTCTTCAATTCAACTCACATCTAATTTTATTTATCTTATTACAAACATAAAGCCTTAGGTATCTAAATTATTTTTGAAATGATGCAATAATGCCAGATATAGTAGCTTAAAATAATATTTTTGCAATTAATAGTATCCCATCAATAATGTTATAAAATATAATATAAAAATAATATTATAACAATACAAAACTATAACGATGGAGTATTACTTTTATATTCAATCTCGCAAATATATGAAAATTTAACATTCTGTTTGTATATTATTATATTTTTTTTATTTTTATAATGTATTGTTATAATATTATTTTTATATTTTATAACATTATTGATGGTGAGTATGCTTAAGATTTACGGAGTATAATTTAAAGAGTAATTTACTTAAATAAGACTAAAACATAATGACTTTCTCAATATAGGACCATATGTTTTTATTTCCCAATGTAGGACTTTTGGTCATTATGAATTAGTCATTATTCAACTAAATGTCTATCATTACTGGACATTATTCCTCCCACAAGGTCATTATTAAGTCCTATTTAGAGAATAAAAAAGTTTAAGTCCTAGATTAGGAAAGTCATTATGTTTTAGTCCTATTTAGTACAAATTTTATTAATTTAAAATACAAGTAGAAGTTACACAACCATTGAGTAAATTTAATGAAGCATGGTAAGTGGAGCGCCTAAAATGTATATGCCGCACTACACCCAATGAGGTTTTTTAATTAAAAGGCTAAAATTGTCAACTTATAAAAGAAAGTAAAAGTGTGGAGTGTAGATAACAAATATGGAGTACAAATATCAACTCCCTTTATTTTATGAAACATTTTCAAAATATTAGCTTATTTAATTAAAGTATCATACTTTTTATTTATTCATATGTTAAAAATTGAAACTGATTGACTGTAAAAAATCAAAACTAGACAAATATTTAGGACGGAAGTAATATTTTTTAAATTTTTTTTTGTAAAATCATACTAAAGAATTTTATGGTAATGTGAGTGTATTTTACGAGTATATATACATATAATAATATTGTTTTCCACTTATCCATTGAGAATTAAAAGAAATTTATTTCTCACCAGTAAAAATGTAAAATATCCCTCCTCTATTGGTTGTATGATATTCTTGTAGTACAAAAATTTGTTTGTCTTAACTCTCACTATTTCTAAATAAACTTTAGAATATGATAAAGTTATAAAATTCACTAAAAAAAATCATATTTTAAAATCAAATCGCAAATTCGTACGTAATTGATATCTATTCCATTTCTAGATTTCAACAAGCTAAAAATCAAAGAAAAAATTATAAATAAATATTTCCTCCGTGTTATATTTCCCAGAGCATTTGTCTTTCGTGGTCAAATGAAATACGTTTTGGTTATCAATTACATGGATGGAAATTATATTATAATACATTATGATATAATGAAATAATATCGTAATTTTGTTGCTAGACACATCTAAACAAACCATATGTATAAAGTTCTTTTGAACGGTAATAATTACTTCTTCCGTCTCATTCTTTTTGTTCACTTTCATTTTTAAACATCTATCACTAGTAGTGGAAGTTACAAAAATACCCTTGGGCACCCCCACCCTCACCAAGTCAACAATATACAATACAAAACTTTCCTCACTGTGCGGGTTTGGCCTCTCCCCTCCGCCCATGATTTCTCTATTCTCGTCGTCCTCGATCTGAAACAAACAACACTTTGGGAATTGGGATATTGGAGAAGTGCGCTAACAGATGTGATAATCATTATCAATTTCACCTCTCTATTTCTAGACTATTGGACATTTGGGGATGACCCGACTCATACGACCGCATTATTTGCAGCCATAATCGGTGACCCGACATTTGGGGATGACCCGACTCAATTTACACCCAATTTGTCTGTCGTCGAACTCGATCTAAACACTAGAGCTCGAATCGGAGAGAAGAAAGGCATCGTCTTATTCGTCTCTGCGTATTTTCATCGATAGGGAAGGTTGGAGGAAAGATTTTGTCGATGTTAGGTATCCGCATCTCCAGTAGATGGAGTTAGGAAGATTTAGGGCCTATTTGGAAATAACGTTAGCGATTAGCGTTACGTTTTGAAAAGGCTATCTACGGGCAGCGTTTAGCGTTACTATTTTCAAAATAATCTGCACCGTTAAAATTTTATCCAAAACGCTAAAGCTAATCTCTAACGCTATTCCAAAACAGACCCTTATTGATATTGGGCTTAGGTGAGAATGAGTTTGGGCAAAATGGTAGAGAGATAGGGGTAAAGAGAATGGAAGGGAGGGCATATTTGTCATTCCAACACCTCCCTTACTAAAAATAGAAAGTGGACGAATACAATGGACGTGTCAAAAAGGAATACTGAACAAAAACACCGGGACGGAGGAGTATATTACAAATTTATAGTATTATATTTAACTAGTGCTTAAATTAGATGAATATTCTTAAACGTAGAAAAGTACTCCCAAAGTTTTACTTGGTCTTAGAAATAAAAAGACAAAAGTTTTGGCGGAGAAAACGGGTAACGGTCAAAGTAATACGGTAGTGATTAACTCAATTTAGAAGATTTCAAAAAAAGAAGAGAGAATAATTTGTTTGGGTCATCTACGAGTTTTGACTCGGCCACTCAAAAGCAGACTCCGTATATAGCTGGCAAACAACAGTTTCATTTGGCAATTGTGTGTTAAAATATTGTGTTTCCATCTTAAATTAATTGTCTCAAATTAAAATGATTCATTTAATTTGTATAACTAATGCTATAAATTATATTCCCTCCGTCCCAAAAAGTCTATCCTGTTTATTTGTTTGCGTGTTTTCATTGATTATTTGATAAAATAAAATATTCTTGTCACCTCTTATTTTGTAGAGTTTCGATGTAGTTTTTGAATATAATTTTTTTATGTGTTATTTCCTTATCAATTTGTAAATAAAATCATTTTAAAATCTATGGGATTTTGCACGTTAATTAAAGTATTTTTGAAACGGAGAGAGTAGAATATAATTGAAAACGTTGACATAATACTTTGAATTTTACGAAACACCTCGAGAAAAATGACTAGATGTGTGGCTCTACTATATCTAACTTAATATTATTTAATATTATATATAAATATGTTTTAGGTCATTCCCATATGTAAGGATATGAATTTGTAAATATATACTTAGATGTGCATACATTCTAAAAGTATAATTCTACATTGGGAATTTATCTTTCTTATCATAGTTGATGCCAGAAATCGGCTTTGACATATTGTTTATCTATTGAAATCGTCGTCTATCACAACCATATTTTACAGTTGTCGTCGCTTGACCATGATCATTGATGTTGGTCACCCTCACTCGATGTAAAAAGACAAAAACAGATACACACAAAGTCACAATTTGAGTGACTGTGTGTTTTTATCTTGGTATGAAGTTACTAACTTAGGATACATGAAGTGAGGTTTTTCTAGCACCCCCTAACAAAAAATTATTCACGGTTAGAAAACAGCCACGTGGATGAAGGGCAGACTCGTGTCAGCCTGGGAGAGCAGCACGTCATCATCTCGACCATTCTTTTGAAAAAGAATAGTACGGAGCAATAATCATCGTCATCCTCGCAAGACAGGTGTCATCACCCCACCCATTTTTCATGCCTATAAGGTGTTCGACGTTTGTTCCCAAAGAACCAGAAAAAAAAACAGTTTGTGAGCCGTCTGTTTCTACATACGCAAGTTAGAGGGCGATTTTAGTACTAAACAAATAAATAATATCAGAGTGGGAGAAGAAGAAGATAAGAAGAAGAATGGCGTCGCAGCAGCAGGACAGGGCGGAGCTTGACCGGAGGGCCCGGGAGGGGGAGACTGTGGTGCCTAGCGGAACCGGCGGCAAAAGCCTCGAAGCCCAGGAGCGCCTCGCTGAAGGTTCTTTTCCTCTCCTCTTTATTAACAACATAAAGAATTGCTTTGTTAGCAACATAAAGGAAGTGAGACAAATGTTTTGATACCGACTGAAAAGAAAAGTAAGAGGATTGATTCGGGACGAGGAGTATGTTTTTGTACTTGACGTGGCTTTTCAAAATACAAAAAGATTTACTAGTAATTTTTATTATTTTTATTTTTACACGAATTTAGAAATAAATAATACTAAGCGATAATGTCAATTGTTTTTGTTGGAATGCGTGCTGCAACAGGAAGGCACAAAGGAGGAGAAACTCGGAAGAAGGAACTCGGGACCGAGGGGTATCAGGAGATGGGACGCAAAGGCGGGCTCAGCACCGGAGACGAGTCCGGGGAGGAACGCGCTGCCCGCGAGGGCATCGAGATTGACGACTCCAAGTTCCGAACCCGCAAATAAATTTCCCCTCCCCGATAATGTATATGTATATATATATATAGTCGTCTACCTTACGTACCTAGCCCGTTTTTCAAAATTTCTAGTTTCTTTTGCTAATGTAATAAGATCGACGATCGGTCGGGTCGACTATCCGACCCGGCCGCGTTCGGAAACTATGTAGGTCATGGTTACGGTAAGGTGGGTGTAGTGTAGTGCGTGTGGGGTTGTTTTTACTCTCAATAATAAATATGGACCTTTTTATGGTCTTTGTATAGAAACATATATATGCACCTCCTGAGATCTATTAATCAACTAGAATGAAGTAAAAGGGGGACAGTTCATCAAGGTATAGCTTGCTTGTGCTTGGAGAGCATAAATGGCATCTATATTGCATGAATTCTTACAGTGTCACACCGTGTCACTTCCCGTGCCCAAAACGTCTCTGTTCAGGTACTTGGGGAAATCTCAACTCTCAAACACTTCGTAAAATAATCTAGAACAAGTACGAGTACGAGTTCAATGGTAAGACTACTATCTAGAAGACACTCACTCTTATGTAGATCCCTAGCAAGACAATCACAACACAGACACACTACATATAAGTAGTTGCACCGAGACGGGAACAAGGTCAAAAACACACCAACATTTCCAAATTTTGTAAGAGATTTGGGTGTCCGGATGTCTCCAAGTACACAATCTTGAACGTTTCACGAACGGGAAGTAACACTAGGCAACGAGAATCTGGGGATATCGACGTAGTGGATAGAGGCAACAATTAACTAAAGACCAAAAGCTATTTGATCTTATGTTCTACACTTTGGTGGTATCCACCATTGTAAGGTGCATTGCATTCAAGTACTATAAAGAACAATAAAACAACTATTGCAAAGGGGCACAATGCTTTCAGACAGAAATGAAATGACAAACACAAAGATTAATTTATAGAAATAAGATCACATTATGAAAGAAATCAATGGCAAAGGGATAATCAAACAGCAAATGTTGAGAGTGACTTGAGACCAAACCAAAATAAATATAGAACACGCATATATAGATACAACAACATCAGCAATTCATCCATGTTTTCTTGGAAGTGAGAAAACCAACCAGTATGATTACTACTACTAGCACCCAATCATCACTAAATATGAATCAAGAAGTGATTTTTGAGAATAATCATGATGATGATTGAATCAGGAAAACAGAGGAGAAAGAAGATGGTGATTCAGGTGTACAAGGACCAATCGGTCCAAGCGCCCGAAACATGTCCATTCTCACAGACATAGGCTCGAACAACCTGCTCGCCATCTTCGTGGAACCCGAAATACCTTCTGAGGCAGAATGCAGAGTACAGGTCCCAGGTGTGTTTGGCATTGCAGAATGCACAGTTGAGATCTGTTTGTTTCCGGTTCCCGTCGTTGATCGTCCTCCAAACCCTAGACTGCTTGAAGTTCTTGAAGATTCCTCTGAAAAGCATGTAGTTCCTCTTCTCCTCGACGTGGAGGCAGCCCGGCCATTCGGAAATGTAGAGGCGATCCTCCCTGAATCTACTCGCGAGGAGCTTAATCCCTTGCTCGCGGCTCAAATTCCACGCGCCGGACGCCATATGAGAACAACCAGATCTGACGGTTCTTCTCCTCTTAGATCTGAGAATTCCGGCGGAATCTCCCGCCGCCGCCTCAGACGGAGGATCCTCGCCGGCTCGGGACGATTCGGAAGCATCGCAGAGCGTATCAAACATCAGATCGTCAAACAATGACCAGCCGCAATCAGGTTGTTGGGAGCCGCCATCAACCGCGCTCTTGACGAGAGGAGGATGAGGAGGAGGATCCTCCTCGGAGACGGAGGCGACAGCTCGGAAATCCTCATCCGGACCGAGCTCGCGCTCGAGGCCGAAATCGGAACTCTCCAAGAGCACGCCGGAGTGAAGGAGGCCAGGGCAGCAGAAGACCAGCTTGTAGAGAGAAGGCCATCCGCACGGAGGATCCGCGGCGGAGGCGTCTGAGACGAGATCGGCGACGACGGAGGGAATCGTCTGTGAGCACTTGGATTCGCAGCAGAGGTTGCGGATGAGAGAGGAGAACTTGGTGGAGACGCAGGAGAGGCGGGCCCAATTACGAGGGTCGCCGTCGAGCTTGTGGAAGATGTTCAAAACGATGTCGTCCGAGAGCTCCGAGAATGCATTTTCCTTCTCCTCCACCTCCTCCGCCATTGCCATCTCTCTGCGCTGAGAAAACCTCTCAATGAGTGGAAGATAAAATGAGAGTTGGGTGGCGGGTGGGTAATTGGGTATATTGACTCTCAACGGGCAAACCCGATTGATAGACCTCTAAGGACTCTTCTTAGACATGTTTTTTTTTGAACTGATCCGATATATTTAGAATAAGTTTTGAAATAATTTAATTGTAATTATATTTAAAGTTATTTCTCATCCGATTCCAACAAAAATAAATAATAAGTTAAAAAAATATTGAGGAGAACATGGCTTTAGTGTACTCCGTGAAGAGGATTGTTATTTGAGTTTATCACTCGTGACCCAACCTAATAAGTAATTAAATTATTCGACTCGATTTAATAGATAAAAATTTAAACAAAAAAGATTATAAATGGATGATAAATAGACTTATTGTGGGTTGAGTCAAATGCAAGTGGAAGTTTTTATCACCCGTCACCCGATCCATCACCGACTCATTCATATTTACTTTAAGAAAGATTAAAATTTAAAATATTAACTTTGTTGAGTACATAAGTTTGTT